TAGATTTGCATACATACACTAAACTGCAGCATTATACGTGCGAAAATTCAAATTGTAGGTATGTACATACGTATAAATTAGTCGCGGTTGTTAGTCTGGATAAACAAGTTTCTTCTGTATTAAAATTTAAACAATAAAAATTCATTTCTCCATTACTGCGACATAAGCCTCCATACTCCTCTTCCCGTCCATCTATCACTCCAAACTTTGTCCGGCCATAAACTAAACAAATATCTCAACTTTCTTTTTCTCAACATGGTAATTCGCTTATAATATTTTATTATATTACAGAAACAAGTGAGAAACGGATGGTACGTGGCTCTATCGATTGCTGCAATAACTTTGTTCCTTCCATTCCCTGTAGGACGACAGGGTTATCAGTACAACCCTTTGCCTCAGGCTTGGTTTGCGGCTCTGGCGCCCCTGACATGGGGACTTTTCCTGTGGTGGATCATACTGGCGGTCAGGGAAGGATATGCCGGTATGTTTGATAAGGGTTGAAGGTTTAGTTAATAGAATCGATAAAGATCTTGGTAGTTTTGGGCATAAATCTTTCAAAAATGTTTATGCACACCCTATAGATATATAGATGTTTATTTAAGAAAATTCAAATTATATTGGCAACAGTCTTCTTAATGTTAAGTTTTTTACCAAACTTAGTAGTACTTCTTGGTTTATTAGTAAAGCGCAAACCTTTTTTTTATATTTTTTCCAAAGTTAAGGGGCACAACTAGTGTAACCACCTAAAAAAAGGTAATTTTTGAGAGTTTATATTAAAAAAATACTTTATCAATCATTTAAAAATTTTAGGTATATATTTATACATGTTTTAAGAATACACAGTGAAATTTTTGAAGAAAAAAATTAAATATTTTTTAAGTTATCGTCGATCTCCAACCGCTCGACAAAAAAAGGCCCTTCACTGCTGCAGTGATTTCGGCCTTCTACGAGGATAAAATTTAAAAAAAAAAATTCTAGTTAAACTAGATAATATTGTCTGTAAAATGAACTATGATAAAGAAAAAAAATCAAAAATTGACAAAATGACGGCGTTTTTTTAAAAAAAGTCGAATTTTACCCAAAATTTTGGTCGTTTTTGGACTGCCAAAATTCGATTTTTGATCCGATTAAAAAATCGATAGTTCATTTTACGGAGAACTATTTATATATAACATGTAAAAAAATTGATAGTGATCGGAACATTTGTTTTTAAGTAATCGCTGCAGCAAATTCGGAAAATGCTGTTTCGAGAAAAACGCGTTTAAAGAATAAATGATCGATATACTATATACTATATATATACTCTTTAAATGCCTGTAACTCAAAAACTATTTAAGATATCGATTTAAAATTTTGGTATGTTATTTTTAAAGGTATAACCTATTGAAATATGGGAAAGTTTAAATAGCGATTTTTTTTTAAATTTCACACTAGTTGTGCCCCTTAATGTTTATTAAGTGTGCTCTATAAGATCTTGCTAGTTTTGTGCATAATTTTTTCAAAAATGTGTGTGCACATCTTATAGATTTATAGGTGTTTATTACAATTTTTTTTAAAACATTTGTTTATATACCTCCTAACAAATAGTATGAATTAAATGTTAGAAAAATTATTCAACTTAATGGAGTAAAATTGAGACTAAGACAATAGTTTAATTAAGGGTAGTTCATTATTCACGTGATCAATTTTTAAGGATGTTTGGACCCCTCCCTCCCGCTTGGTGGTACATGGTGATGTTCAAAACTACCCCCTCTTTCCGATTCAACACTACGTGTATTTTTAGTACTTAAAAAATTGGTAAATTTTCGTAATTTTTTGTAAAACTCTTATTTGCTTTCAATTTTCACGTGATTAATGAATGACCCCTTAGAAACAAGCGTTTTGTATGTATAATCATGGTAAATCGAGCAAATAAAGTAGTGAAACTACTATATTTGTACTGATTATACCCGATTTATATGAACAATACACATACACACATAGATATCTAATAATTAAAACAATTTTAGTGAAGAAAATGTATTCATTGTCATACGTTCGGGTCCTGATTTGACCCTTTTTCAGTGCATACAAATAATTTAAAAAAAAAACAAATATTATGATACACCAATTAATATCACAACAAGTGATTCCAAATGTATAACATGTTTCGATAAGAAGAGCTTTTTAAATCTTTACATTTTTTTTATTTTTATTTATTTGATGATGTCATATAACTCGTTGTGATATTAATTGGTGTATCATAATTTTTGTTTTTTTCTGTTTTTTTTTGTTTAAATTATTAGTACGCACTGAAGATGGGTCAAATCAGGACCCGAAACGTTCGACAATAAAAACATTTTTCTTCACTAAAATTGTATTAATTATTGTGCATATAAATGAGGTGTACTCAGTACAAATCTAATTCTAATCTCTAATAAATTAATTTTTAGATGAATGCCCAAAAACAACTCTATCATAATATTTTACCATCTGAAACTTTATATACACGCACACACGCATATATATATATATATATATATATATTAAATTCTTAAATTTTTTTTCAGGATTATTATCTAATTTTCTGCGTTGGAAAGGCTTCAGAGTTTTTTCCAATATTGCTTATGCATTATATTTAACGCAGTTCCCAATTTTCTTCTATAACATAGGAATAGCAAGACAACCTATGCATTATAACTTTTTACAAGTCGTAAGTATTAAATTTAAATTAAAGTTTATATTATAACAATGATAATAATAATATTTTAAATAATATTATAATATGTTCAGTTTCCGTTGGGTGAAATGACCTTTATATTCATGGCATCAATAGCAATGGCATTGCTTATAGAATTTCCATTCTTGGAAATAAGGAAAATCATAGTCCAAAGAAGTAAAGGTAATTAATTTAAAAAAATAATTTAGTCTTTCAATTTATTTTTTAAACCAATAATTTTTAAATGAATTATGTTAATTATTTATTCCAAATTTTTAGAATCAAGAAATGGCCATATAAAAACGAGTTGATTTCCTCAAACAATTTTGATTTTCTTAAATTAAGGAAATCTAAAGATATGTGATGAAACATAAAGTCCAAATATATCTCTAATGCATAATTTACAGTAAGTATAGTTAATAAGTTAGGTTAATTAAATTATATTAATTATTAATATTTAAATTAATTTGTGATATTTAATTGTTCAATAAAAATACATAATAAATTTTTAAGAATCAAATTATTTATTAATTGTTTATTTTTTACAAGTCTAGTAATATTAAGTGCATACAGGTGTGTAATCATGGTCTAATTTGCTGAAATCAATTTGGTCAAATATTTATGTCCATGAGGTCGAAACGTAAGAAATATGTAATTATAATCTAATAATATATGTACTCGTTTTATGAACTTCTATTATCATTCTACAGATCTTCACTTTGCTACTCATATGTAATAAATTACATTAATAAATTGTGTAGCTTCGTTTATTTTGTAATTCTAAATATATATGTTGAATAACTTATATAATAAATGATAGAATGACATCAGCGTATAATCTATCATAAAAATTATTATAATTAGGCCTAAAACTTAACAGTTATACGATAGAAATAAATAATTTACAATAAATTACTAGTTAGGACTAATGATGATCACATTTTATAGTACCTAGTTTTTGAAATAAGCAAAATCGAAGAAATCGTAAAAAGATTATTCGTGAATTATTTTCTTAAAAGATTTTGTAATAAGTCCAAGTATCAAATGATTTAAGATTATGGATATAAATCGCCTACATTTAAATAAATTGCGCAATTTTATAAGTTTATTTATTATTTTGAACTAAATTAATTTGAAATATTTATGTATCTTATGTCATAAATTAGTCAAGATTATCTGGAGCAAGCTCAGAAATTAATGAATATTCATGAATTTGACCTAATATTTTTATATAATTCACCATATTATATTAGATTATTTTTATAGGCTTATAAAATGTTAAATTTTTTTCCAAAATTTTGGTTTTTTATTGGTAAGCAATCGCAAATGTGGCGTTAATTAAAATTTTTACCGAATGATTTTTTTCAAGATGATTTCAGTATAATTTCATCCAAATGCTCTAAATAATTTTATTCGATAAAAAATTTAAATTTTCTAAAGCGTATTTAAAAAAAACATCGTTTTATCAATGATAATTGAACTATTACAAATTTTCAAAAAAATATTCACCAGCTATCAATCCATGATTTCACTCAATAAAAATCAACTAAATTTGATCCAAGAAGATTGCTATTTAAATTAATTTAAAATTAGCATGTGTCATGATTGTTGCTTTTATAATTTTTATATGAAATCGAATTAATATTTAGCTAAAATTGGTATTTAACAAAAATATCATTTAGTACTTATACATATGTACTCTGAGACGCAAGATTTTGTTAAATTCTTTATTTTACAATATCAATAGTAAAATATGTTTTTTAAAATTTTTATCAGTTATAAATTTAGATATATTGATTCTTTTAATGTTGAAACGCTTTAATATATCCATTCTGAATTTGGTTCCAATTTTTTATTATACAGTAATTACATATACTTTTTATAGTAATAACTTTTGATCAAAAATAATCATCTTTGAAAGTTATTCAAGGTTTCGGAGTCTGTATGAAAATAGATTAACATTTAAGAACGAACCTCTATTAAATCTACACTATGATTATCTGTCTTTTGCTTTTAGTTTTTTTTAAACTTTCGTGTGCAAGATACGTAATAAGGAATATTTAATATATTATGTTTTAGTTTAAATTCCCTGGTGCTTGCAGTGCCAAGCGTTCTATCATAATTTCCCATAAATTGGTTGAAAAAGTGTGAGAACTTTAAAGATTCACATACTTGACTACATTTAATATAGTTACAATAAAGATTATTCGAATTAGTAAAAATAGTTATATTTATATGAATCAATTATAATCATCTTATGGCAAAAATTTTAAGGAACGATTACGGGATAATTTATAAACGATAAGATGCCAAGCATGGTTTATTGGTAGGCATGGATTTTGTCACATATAAGAACACAATTTGTATTTGAAATATTCACAAATAGTACAGGAAAATTAATGATCTATTGACATTTTTATATTATTCATTTAAATTTGAAGAATTTCATTCATCAAATAAATTTAACCCTTTTGTTACGAATGTCGTCCATGGACGACATACACTCAACTATCCCTATATATGAGTGTCGTAAAATATGTTAACAAACGTCCAAATTATCAAATCTTTTGAACTCATTCACAATTTTCAAATTTACCCATATTCATTCATTATTTTTCTTAAATTATTTATCAATACCTAATCAAAAAATAATTTGTTTCTATCTGATTATGAGCTGATTTTGGGAAGAGAAGAATTCTAATGAGCTACCGTCTTTTCTCAGATCTTTTACTTCAAATCAGATTGTTATTTATACCATTTTTGTTATAATGTTATAACCATTTATTACCATTAGTGTTACTCTTATATGTGACAAATCCATAAATCTGTATCATGCATCAAATTTGCAAATTTTTCTTCAGATTTATTATTAAGAAAAATATTTAAAACGCCTTAAAACTTATAACAAGGGGTGCTCTAATTATATGAAACGTGACAAGCATATAATAAATTATTTAATACTTATTAAGCTACAGATCTAATATATTATCTTTATTATTGACTCACTTAGACTTTATTCAAACGTGCATTCGATATGAATATAATATTGGTTTATAAATATATAATATAGTATTGGTGTTGTTGCTGAGAAATTTATAGACCAGAAATTCAAACTTTTTATAAGAGATGCGGCATCTCCATTATTTTTTTATAATTACTTAAATTCTATGTAAATATATTTAAAAAATTATTAAGGATTTATTCAAACATCGAAGTATTGGGATATATGACTATCATACATTTGAATTATATAAAATTGAAAGTATATTTAGGTGCATAAGTTTCTTTGATGACATTTATAAATTTATATATAAGTCATAAGACATTTGCTTGAGTTTACATATTAGTAGGACAAAACGTGCCATAAAAATTAGTTTCACTTATTTGAGCAACTTATGTGAATATATATTATTTTTATGCTCATATTTTAACACTCGACATAATTCTGCTTGTATTAACTAATATTATAATTAGTCATGTTTATTATATTAATTAGAAATAAAAAAAAAAAAACTATCATGTTTAGTGGCAAAATTTTTACTCTTAGCATATGAATAAATTTTATGTGAATTATTTCAGGTTTGTTCAAGAGTGTTAAAATATTTACAATAATTAATTAGGGAACTGCTTTCTTAGATGTAATTAGTAAAATTTTATTTATTATATATTTAAGTATTTTGAGGATTTATTCAATATATTCTCTCAAAAATTTTTTTTTCATGGCTTTTAGCAAACCTTTGTTTGAATTATGGTTTCGTAAAACCTTTGGAAATCTATTAAGGTGAAATAGTTAAACATGTATTATTATATGAGAGGTAAATTTATAAACGTTTTAGAAAATTGACGTATAAAAACATAAATAATCTTTGGTATTAGTCTATTTTTTATTTTTACATTTGAAACCTACTATTTTCAGTATGCCTATATAGTTTCAGCAAAAAATAAAATTTGGGTACATTGGTGGGTAAAAATCACTTGATTGATATTATTAGTTCACCAACAGTTTCTGAAACTCGAAATAACTATCAAAAGCTCACAAATCCTTTAAATTTGTTCAATTAATGGCTATGTTTCAATTTTTACTAATTACATGTAAGAAAACAAGTTGCCCACTTCGATTTTGTTATTGAATTATTCGAGACAACAGGGTACAATAATATTTAAAAAATCGTATATCCAGCACTGAAGATAAAATTGTCCATGATCAATTTTGACCATGCCATTTTTAGCATCTACGTTATATTTTATCATTAGCAGCCACGTCTGCTGAAGACAAACTAAATTAATCTTTGGAAAACAGACTACAAAGGTCAACATTGACTATTGAAAAATTAAAAATTACGAAAAGTCATCAGTAAAAGCTTAATATTGATTTTGGATATTGTATTATGATGTCAATTGGACCCATCCATTGATGCTCCTGTAACTGGGAACAGCGCGGATTTATTAAAGAAACACATAACGAGATTCCCTTGTTACATTCCTCAATCGAAATATAATATTAATATTTATAAATTATGTTATTTTTACAAATACAATACATGATTTAAATTTATCAATTGCTTGTCAAATATCGCTCTTGTATTAAATAGTACTTTACTAAAATATAAATATTTTTTATTATATATATTTATAGTGAGTTTCAAATATTAGGTGCTACTTATAAATAGTTAGATATATTTACATTATTTTGATATCCAGGCGATTGAATGAGATTATTTTATAATTTTTTATTCACCACGATTTTTAAGTATAATCTTTTACAAGTGTGGGATTGTCAGATGCTAAATTCTATAACACTACATTATTAAGTAATTTTCTTGCTAATTTATTATACAGTTTGTCATATATTATATAAATTAGTTTATTTAATTATTAAGAACCACTTTATAAAAGTTACATGATTTAATAATTTTAGTTTTATCATAAAATACTAAACGATAATATTATTCATATTAAAATTGATTTCAGTTGAAAAGAGAATAATGTCGATTATTTTGTGTTGTGTCAGCAAATTGTATAATTGAAAAAAAAAACTGAGAAACAAATTAATAAAAATTAAAACAACGTGCAAATAGTTCACTATGATGACTAATCAATATCTTAGATATTTATTAGACAAAATTATAATATCTTTATGTTCTTGTATAGCTCCTAAAACTTTGGATAATGAGTACAAATTATGTCACAAATATAATATTTATTTTTAGGAGATATACAGAAAGAATTTAGTGCAATCCTGAATAGAATAAGTTTGAAGTTTAAGTTTTGATGGGTTTAATTTTATTTCTATTATTACCAAATATCAGCAAAGTTGGAGTCCTTTGAACAGATAATTGGGGTTTATCACATTTTTCTACTGACACAACACAAAATTCTGACAATAATTATCAAAATGCAAATATAT